ACAACAACCACAACAACAACCACAACAACAACAACACGGGGGTTATGACCATGTTAGCTTCAGACTTCAGATCAAGGCCGGGGTCACGACCCCTGGAATACTCTAAACAGAACAGTACTGCAGTACTGGTCAGTACCACGTCTTGGTCTCCGTCCGTCCGGTACTCCTTCTTGCTCTGGTCCCTCCCCTGCAGCCTCTGGTAGGTGACAGTGTACCAGTCTATGGTTGTTTCGTAAACCACACGGGGGCGCTCCCACATCACCACGATGGTGGTGTCGTTTTGGGCGTCGGCCTGAAGGTTCTCTGGTTCAGAGCTGCAGGCTGCACAGATACAGTACAGTTACTGCAGAGTACTGTTACTGGTACTATGGTTTACCATGGACCGTGGACCGTGGACCGTGGACCGTGGACCACGGACCGTGGACTGTGGACCGTGACCTACTGGGGGTGAGGACGTCCTCCACTCCAGTGTAGGAGGCAAAGATCTGACCCAGGAACTGCTGCTGTTCTCTGAAGTTGTTCTGAAGATAATCTGTCAACATGACGTACCCGGCCTGCTGCAGGGTCATGACCTCACAGAACCGCTCCAACTGACACAGACACAGACGCAGACGCAGACACAGACGCAGACACAGACACAGACACAGACACCAGTGACTAAAAGACATTTTCATTTTCACTTCATCAGAGAGAGAGAGAGAGAGAGAGAGAGAGTGGTAGAGAGACTCCGGCCTGACCTGCGTCTCTGATATGTCCACCCTGTCTTTGAAGACGATCCACTCCACCACCTCAGAACACGGAGGAACAGTCAGAGAACCGTTGTAGATGAAATACTTGTCTGTGTTGTTGGGCAACAAGGATCCAAGAGTGAAGGCTTCCAGTGACCCACTCTTACCTGGGGGGGGAGGGGGGGGTACAGACGCACACACAACAACAGACAACAACAGACAACAACAGACAGCAACAGACAACAACAGGGTTCAGAGGTGTTCCTACAGCTGGTACAATGTGGTACCATTGTCTGTGTCTGTGGTGAGGTGTTGTCTGTCGTCGGGTGGATGGTCATGTGACCTGGCAGCGACACCTACCGAATCTGCTGACGGTACCGATGGATTCCAGAAGTGGGTCGAGGTTCTGGTTGTCCTCCAGACTGACCTGTGGGGACAGGCGGACAGTGGACTGTTGGTGGACAGTCAGGAACAGGACACACGCTGACCTGCAGGGGGCACTGACCTCAAAGAGCACGGCCAGGGCTGAGACCCTGCCCCCCTCCCTGATGGACTGGTCCAGACTCTGGAACTCGTCTGCGTCGTAGGAGTAGACCTGCATCTGTGGGACACGGGGGGGACAGACAACAGTCAGACTCCGACTGTGACGTCACCGTCCTCTCTGTGCAGAACTGCGGCTCACCTCCAGGGGGGATCTCTGTCCATTCACACTGTGCTCGGAGCCGTCTGACGTGGCATTGCAGCGCCCCCAGTGGAAGAGGACTCTGCTGACACGGTACCTGGAGCTCAGGCCTCCCCCGCTCACGAAGAACTCCCCCTCCACGTCCACGAACACTGAAACACAGGCTGGTCACTTTGACTGAGGGTCAGAGGTCACCGCCCCTGAAACACAACGTACCGGTCTTTCCATTGTTGTGGACCGTGCTGGACTCTGCTATGGTCCTCTCCCAGCCCTCTAGCTGCAGGTGTTGGTACTGCAGTCTGACCGGAGCGAAGGCTTCGTCGATGTCCACCGGAGACTGTCTGCCGCTGGTACAGGACGGGTACTTCCTGGACCAGTGCTGCTGGTTGAGGGAACCTTATCATCAAACACAGTCGGACGAGAGGATGAGGACGGATGGAGTCGTACGTCCCTCAAATACTGGTACTCAGTCCTCGACCGGGACGACCGGGACGGAAAAGACGGTCCTATAACGTCTGAGTGTGTCCACGAGTGAGGCTCAAACTGTGGCTCAAACTGTGGGGGACGACCGGGACGACCGGGACGGAAAAGACGGTCCTATAACGTCTGAGTGTGTCCACGAGTGAGGCTCAAACTGTGGCTCAAACTGTGGCTCAAACTGTGGCTCAAACTGTGGCTCAAACATGACGGATTGGCCTCAGGTCATGCTCTGCCCTAATGTGTGTGTGTGTGTGTGTGTGTGTGTGTGTGTGTGTGTGTGTGTGTGTGTTCTAATGAGGTCACAGCAGATGGTTCCACTGGAACTGTTCACACATGACTGAACAGTGACTGGATCCTGGAGCGTTAGCTTCACGTGTTTAGATAAATATGTTCACGTGTCACTGAGGGGAAAATAAACCTGTCCTCAGTCTTCAAGGGGG